TCTCTGCTGAAAAAAAATTCTTATTTTTTAAAATAATTGTTTTTCTTTTAATGTTTGTTTAAGGGAGTTTAAAGACATCCTTTCCCAATCCTAGATCAGTAAGTTTTTAACATTTGTTTTGTTAACCTGAAAGTCTTCTTTCTCACAGTTAAAATGGTAATCCATCTGAAGCCCATCTTTGTATGTGGAATTTGGTGGTAATCCAGTTTTATAGTTTATTATTCACTAAAACAATCCATTCTCCCCTAACTTGATTTACTTTGTAATATCCAGGATTCATATATATGCATATCTACCCCTGTTCTGTTCCACTGGTCTATTTGTTATTTTACCAATACCAGTTTTGTTTCAATCATGCAAAATTAATTTTTATTCAATGTAGTATATATTTAAAATACTGTAATTTTAACATGTAACATGTGCAGAAAATTTACTTGTGTGACATTTTGTTTTCTTCTTTGCACCAAATCTTTAAAATCCAGCACGTCCACCTCTCTTATAGCATATGTCAACTTGAGATTCCCACATTTCAAGTGCTCAATAGCGACAATGGCCATGAGTCACTCAGTGGACAGCACAGACCTCAAATGTTTAGATCTTACTCAGTAACTCTTATCTTGCTGGCAGTAGCTCAAATACTAATCCTTCAGAGGAAGCCGCAAGTCTACCAGAAAACTAAGCCTCATTTTTGTTCTTGTATTTTTCTTATAACTATATTCTGTTCAAAACACTTACTATATACTATAAGTTGGGAAGGTTTTTGTCCCCTTGAGCTGCTATAATAAAGTACCTCAGACTATGTGCTTTATAAATAACAGAAATTTATGGCTCACAGTTCTAGAGGCTGGGAAGCCCATGATCAAGACACTAGCTTATCTGCTGTTTGATGAGGGATGGCTATGTTTCTTCACAGGCTGGAAGGTGTAAACAAGCTCCCTCAGGCTTTCTTTTTTCCTTGGTACTGGGAATCAAACTGAAGACCTTGTGCTTGCCAGGCAGTTGCAGCACCACTGAGCTAAATCCCCGGGCCCTCAGGCTTCTTTTTTAAGGCACTAATCCCATTCAAGAGAGCTCTGCCTTCAGGAGCCCAAAGTCACGCCCCCTTTTTTACTTTTCAGTACAATTACTCTGGGGATTAAGGCTTCACATGGGAATTTTGGGGAGACACAAACATCAGAGCACAGTGGTATTCACATGTGATTTGATAAGCAGACATGATTCCTGTGTGATGGTAGGTCACATGATGGTAGAGACCAGGCCTCTCCTGTTCTTTGAGTTCCCAAACCCTGATATAGGAACTGGTCCACAGCACTTTATAACTTTTTACATTTTCCAGTCAATGCATTAAGAAACTTAATTCTTTCCTATTACTCTGTATTTTTCTCTACTGCTCTGTTTTTACTTATATATGCTCCTATATGTTCTGCTGCCATGTAACTTTACCTTCTTATGTTTTCAGATTCAGTTTCCAAGGCAAATCATCTTATTCATATTTCCTATTTAAAATTCTCCAGAAAGAGCATTTGATTGGTTTAGGTCAGTATTTTTCATATTTTGCCAAGGATAAGGTATAATCAGGGACCAAAGTAAAAACACCAGCTCCTAGTCCATTCCCATCTGAAAGGATTTAACAGGTAAGGCTGGGGGGTCTAGGACTCTGAATTTTACCAATTAGAGGAGGTAAGTTTGGGAACCTCTGGATAGTCTTTTCATGAATTCTCAGCCTGTGAGTAGTTGTTTTGATGAGGAAGTCCAGCGCTTATCTTATGAGGTTACTGGGTGAGAAGAACAAAATCTGGCTGTCCCAAGGAGCCTTAAATTCCAGTTATAGCACAACTAATACTCCCACAGCAAAGCTTGCTGGCCCTGCTGAACGGGTTTTACATCATCTTCATCTCATCTTCTCCATGACCCTTCTTGCACATTCCATGAGCACCAAGCATAACTTGCAGGGCACAGGGCTTTCAGAAGCAGAGGGCTTCTCGACACCTGGCAGAGAGGACGCGTTCCAGTGACTGCTCTGGTTGACAATGACATTCAGCCAGACGCAGCGCCCCAAGGCTCCCATCTCCTAGGCGCCACCTGAACAGCTGAGAACCGCAACCAAGGGGTACATCCTCCCAAGGCCCCAACGGACCAGAGGGCAACAGGCCAATACCAGTTTTTATTACTGTGGTTTTGTATTAATATCCAATAAGGAGAAGCTCGTTATTTACCTTTTTGTAAATAAGGCTGTGAATCTATTTTCTAATTAGTATTGCTAGTACAGAAAAATTGTCTTGATTTGTGTTTATAATGAATCAGGACCCCTCACCAAGTTCTTTATTATTATTCATTTCCCTGTTATTTTTCTAGTTGTATGAGCATATAATGACATTTTACAACTTTTGTTATTTCTTTTCTTACATCTTTGTTCAGGAACTCTTTTTAATTGAACATAACGATAACAGTCATTTTTGTCTTCCTCTTGACCTTTAAATGCATTCATTTTCCAGTAAGTAACATGTTTTGTTTTGTTTTTTTAATTTTACTTTTTTTTGGTGGTACTAGAGACTGAACCCAGGGTTTCTCTATCAAGTTACATCCCCAGCCCTTTTTATTTTGAGACAGGGTTTTGCTATTTTGCCCAGGCTGGCCCTGAACTTGTAATCCAACTGCCTTATCCTCTTGAGTAGGGGGTTACAGGCACGTACTACCACACCAGGCTTATTTTTATTTCCTTAAGACAAAGTTTTGTTATGTTGCCCAGACAGACATGAAATTTCTGGATTCAAGTGATCCTTCCTCCTAAGTAGCTGGGACTACAGGCACATACCATCATGTCCAGCTTAGAAGATAACTTTAATAAACTAAGAAAGCTTCTTTCTGTTCCTTGTTAAAAGGTTTCTAAAAATTATACGGAATTATAATGATTGAAGTATCATTTTTCTATTGTATCAATTACACTGAATTAGAATTTCTGTGCTGAATAACATTTGTATTCCTCAGATAAACTTTATTTGCTCGTGATATATTATTCTACTTTTTAAATATCCTGATTCTAGTAAGCAAATATTACTATTTATATCTACATTCATAAACAAAATGAACGTATAATTTCCTTTTCTTGTATTGCCTTATCTGGTTTTGCAGGTTTTCAGTTTCTAATTATTCCCGGAGGGCCACAATATTCTATAATGAATACTCAATACACATTAACTCTAACACTTTAACTCTCTAATAATTACCTCTTCTATAGGAAACAATTAGGTCAGTTTATAAGATATAATAAAAAAGAACAAATCAGAGAACTATGTTGTGTACTTTCTGCAAAGTCATTCAATTCTGAGATTTGGGTAAAATTTTATTTTATTTTATTTTATTTTATTTTATTATTTATTTTATTTTATTTTATTTTATTTTATAGGCAGTACTGGGGATTGAAACCAGAGTCTTGTATATGCTAGGCATACACTTTAAACACTGGGCTATATCCCCAGCTAATTGCGATAAATTTAATCATAAATTCCTTTGAAGCATCAAGACCAACACAAGACTGTAAGCCACTAGTTGAAGGTCACATAGCTAATTACTGGAGAAACTAGAATTTAGCCCTTCTGATTCCTAGTCCTAGTGTTCCTTCAGTTAACAGATCCTAACTCTGCCACCTCTAATTTGATTGGTGATAGATACATCCATGTCAAGAACTAGAAGAAAATCAAAGCTTTCTAAGAAACCCAGGATCATTCTAAGTGCTATGAAGAATAAAATTTTTTGATTAGCTTAAAAATATTTGATATTGATTACTTGTTAACACTTTAATTTAAATCTAGCAGTTAATTCATTTTGTTAGACAAGAATCTGCATTTCAAGTTTTAGCTTTTTTTCTACACTCTACTGTGTAGCCTATAGATCTGTCCTACATGAACTTTAACAACTTACCTTTCCCACAAGCTGTACAATTTCTGCCAGGTCTTCTTCTTCCTGAAGAATTTCCTTAGCTTTGGTCCTCAGAGGAACAAACTCTGTGAAGTGTTTGTCATAGTACTCATCCAAGGCCCGCATGTATTTGCTGTAGCTGATGAGCCAGTTGACCGAGGGGAAGTGCTTCCGTTGAGCTAATTTCTTATCTAAGCCCCAGAACACCTGATATAAAAATAACCCCCCAAAAGAAAACAAATTTAAAAAAATTTTAAGTATATTTGTTCTAAATATGCAATCTTATAATTTACTCGTCAAATTATGCATCTTTTTTGTATATAACAAGTGTGACTGAAAAATAAAACTTACACAAAGTGTTAATTAAAAATATATTCTCTTGGGTCAGGGATTTAGCTCAGTGGTTCCACCACCTACTTCACAAGGACAAGGACCCAAGTTCGAGCCCCAGTAGCCCCCAAAAATATCTATATATCTATATATGTATATTCTCTCATTTTCAAGGTATCATTTATCATCAAATTCAAATTTTATCTGAATTTCCTTAATAGTGTGCCAAATGTGATATAAAAAAAGAAAATTGATATATACATAATTTCAGACAAGGTATCACTATGTAGTCAGGCTGGCCTCAAACCCACAATCCTCTTGCCTGAGCCTTCTGAATGCTGGGATTACAGGCATGTGCCAACAGACCTGGCTTTAAAGAGATACTTTACTTTGATTAAAAACTTTTCAATGTTCTGATCAAATTCAGTTCCTTATGACTAATCTAGTAAGATTTGACATTCATTTTTCTGAGGCAAAACATTCACAGATATTTTATGTATTCCTAATTTTACACCACCTTTCCCCACAATTTAATCCAAGATTCTTTATTTTCTGGTACTGGGGTTTGAACTCAGGACCTTGTGATTGCAAGGCAGGCATAGTGCCACTGAGCTAACTCCCTGGCATTCCCCACAAATTTAAAAATCAAAAAAAATTTTTTTAGCAAATATTGAAGAATTTCAAAGTTGTAAATTTAACCTCTGCCATTTCATGTGATATCAACTTTATTTTTTAACTATACCGGAGTCTAACACACCCTTTATTTAAAAGCCTCTTTTAATGGCCAGGCTGGCTAGTCATCCACTAAATTTCACAATGTGTTTTAAGGAATCAACTGCTTAAGGAAATACTACATTTTCCAGCCTTGTTTTCCTCTAGGTATAGTTAATGGAATGTGAGCCCACGGTCCCAAAAGTGGGTAAGTCCTTTCCACTGTTTCCCCATATCAGCCAGATGCAGATGACCCCGAAGCCAATTAACGGAATGGGCCACAAGACAGCAGAGCTTGCGCCTCTAGCATGATGAATGCAAGAGAGACATTTCCTGACAGGATCATCTGTACTAGATCATACTGTGAGGAGGAATAAATTTCTAGACTTTTGCCAGGTATAGTATTGGGACTATTTGCTTAAAGGACAGCATAACTCTACCTGTATTTTCTAGCTGGATGTATTTCCCACCTATATGTTTACTTTATTATCAACTGGCTATAGATCCAACAAAAAATCAAATGGCATTAAAGGTTCTTGGTGTTCAGGACGTTCCTAAAACACAATTTACCACTGCCTACTCTTTGGTGATTAAATTAAATATATCATGACAATTTACATAATGTTAGAACAGTGGAGGGGACTTAGAAGTTGACTACAGTAGGAAAAGACATACCTGAACAATACCAAGAGTAGCAGATGTAACTGGATCAGAAAAATCACCACCAGGTGGAGAAACTCTAGATAGAAAAATACACATAATCATTAGAAATGCTTAGGAAAAATGTATATGAAAGCCAATTTTTTGGAAACTTAATAATAACAGGCATTAAAATGCTTATGAAAAATACCTATGTGGAAGTCAAATTTCTTTGAAATTTAATGTGAATAACATATTCCTATCACTGAGCTATAACCCCAGCTCTAACTTTTTGATATAAATAACTTTAGAAACGAGTAATACTTGGGAAGAAAAATCATACATAAAATTCTTAAGCAAAAGCCATTACTAAGCTGCAAATAAGAATGACAATTATCTTTACATTTATTTTTTGAGACAGAGTCCTGCTATGTTGCCAAATTAGCTTTGAGAATTCAAGATCCTCCTGTCTTAGCCTCCAAGGTAACTGGAATTACAGGCATGCACCACTGTGCCTGGCTTTAAACATGATGATTATTGAACATTTCCTACTATAAAAAATAAGACCATCTTTATTAGAATCAGTTTCATTATTTCTAATAAAATAAATGAAGCAGGATGGAAGAAAAAGCTCAAGAGAAAGTATGGCTTTACACAATATTTGTGAATCTTTGTTTCTACCATGATATAGTCTCATCTAAGCATGTGTACAATTTTCTAACTTATTCCTAAGATATTATGACTTGGATATAATAAAGTAGTCAAGTCCTATCTGTGGAACCTGAGCATGCAGAGGTGACCAATACATATCCAAAGAGTTCTCTGAAGCTCTGTGGGTAAAACTGGAGTGCAGCCTGATTAAGAACCAGGTTCCTAGAGGAAGTTAAATTATCTCTTTAAAATAAATGATTTTTAGCTCTGTGCAGTGACATTATTGTAGCAAATAAAGTTCATCTGAGGCTCAGTTATTGGTAATTGAAAAAAAGTGACCTTTTTCCTTTGAAAAGTAAATAGTTTGGATGCTTACGCTCCTACAATGCTGACACTCCCTTCTCTTTCAGGATTTCCAAGACACTTCACTCTGCCTGCTCGCTCATAGAAAGAGGCTAGACGGGCACCAAGATATGCAGGATAGCCACTATCTGAAAGATGAAAGCAAATTTTTAAAAAAGGCTCTAAGTCATCCCCGCAATTCTATTAGTCTTGCTTATTGATAAGCAACACAAAGCCTTACCTGCAGGCATTTCAGCTAAGCGACCAGAAATTTCTCTAAGGGCCTCAGCCCATCTGGAGGTAGAGTCAGCCATCATACTGACATGGTAACCCATGTCACGGAAGTATTCTGACAGTGTAATTCCTAAATCGGGAAAAATAACACAAGTTACAATGTTAGAATACACAATCCTAACTTTTTGCCCTCAAGGAAACTTTAAAAAGCACTATGTAGGAAGACTGCAAGCTGCTTGGTTTTGCTTCTTGGGAAGTATCCACTACTTGCATGAGCTTAATATGATTTGTACTGTTTCAAATGAATTCTCAATGTTTCCCTACACCCTTCTTTGATTTTCATTCATTTAGGTGACTTCAGTATTTTGTTACATAGCTAAATGTATCTTCTAGTTTTTGACAATTGAGTTTATATTTCCATGTTTGTGTTTTCTTTGTTTGGTGGTAACTTTTATGAAGAGGAAAAGGTGATATTTATCTGCCATTTTAAACCAAGTCCACTTCATTCTTTAAAATGGCTGCACAATAGTATGCCTTTGTGTGGACGTGGCATATTCTGTAACCAACACAGGCGGGCACTGGCATTTGTTAGTTTTCAACTATCACAAATAGTGAAGCACTAAAATATCCTTGTGCAAGTGTTTTACACCGTTCGTTTTTGTGTGTATGGTTTTTTACATTTTTTTTGTATGCTTGGTTTTCTGCAAGTTTTTTGTGGAGCAAGTTTTTAGACAATTTCTGAGAATTTTTTATGTACTTATGTTGAATTTTTTAAAGAGTGTATGAACTACATTTGGAAATTAATTTCAGATTTAATTATTTCAACAAAGAGTGGGGGGGGGAGTATTTTCCTATGTGAGGTGAGGCCAGACTTTGGCATCAGGTAATTTCAAACATGTAATTGTTTACTGTAATAAATATTTATTTCAAATGGTTAGGGAACTCTATCATTCTGGGCTGGGGCCCAAGCTAAAACGAGCAGCAAGTTCATTAAACATATTTGTTGAGATTTTATGATGGAATGCATTATTTTATTTAAACAAGAAATAAATGGAGAAAGTGTGGCCAAAAGAACATCAGCGAGCATATATTCCATTTTATGGCAAGTGTAATGTTAAATCAAATACTGGTTTGTTTCAGAACAGAATATAAACTTAATAAATCCTAAAGATGTAGAAATAAAAGTATGAAAAGCTGTGAAGAAAGTGGGAGCAAAAATGGAAGAAAATGTATAAACATAGCAATTTTCTTATTTTTTATATCCCAAGTAACACATAATAATTTAAAGCTGATAATTCAAGTTAAATAGGAACAAGTATATTTAAAGAGAGGTCAGTGGCAAAATATATGATAAAAAGGGGTATGTTGTACCCTTTTTATGGCCATTTTCTGGCCAATATAAAATATTGAGACAGTTTTATAAATAGTTTCTGTTCACTTATTTGCAAGATAAAATATGTGTAGTTTTTCTTAAAAGCTAGGAAAATGTGTTTGTATGGAAGTATTTTGGATAAAAGAAATTTTGAGGGAAAGGAAAAGTCTGGCACTACCTTTAAACCTAAGAACAGGTCTTAACTGCTAATGAATTTTATTCTAATTCATAACTCACCAGTATAAATAGAAGCTTCTCTAGCAGCAACAGGCATATTGGAGGTATTGGCTACCAAAGCTGTCCTCTTCATAATTGATTCTACCTTACCATCAACTTCCATAGTGAGCTAGAGGTAAAGAAATCCCTTAGTTATCCTCAATGCTCTAAATGTAACATTATAGTTGCTTTTTTCTTTTTTACAATGTGTCTGTACTTAATCCTCTAATCATTATTCCCAAAGCAATATTTCCCATCACTTCATCTCTCCTGACTGCTCTAGAGTAGATATATAGTAGAAAGTAGATATAATTGCCATTTCATAAATAAAATCTATTATTTTATGGAAGAGGAAACGTTACTATAGTAACCTAGTAGTTCACAAAGGCTATGCAAACTTCATGTACATAAACATTTTGTCTTTCATCTTTCTCCCAATTCTAAATGAAAACTGCAAACTTTCCAATGTTTGACTTTGAAAAATTCAAATGCTCTTTCTTAATGATATAAATTAAATCACAAAATTTGTTTAAACTCTTTAAAAGGTTCTTGACAAATGCGAGCATTGTTCAGACCAACAAAAAGTTGCTAATGAAATTGATATGTAGCATTTTATCTAGAATACAATTTGAAGCTTTCCACATACAGACCTCTGGGAAATCCCGGAGAACTTCAGACATCTCATTTCCTCTTTCACCACATCCTACGTAGATGATCACATCACTGTTAGAATATTTGGACAGAGACTGTGATATTACTGTCTTTCCACAGCCAAAAGCCCCAGGGATAGCAGTTGTCCCTCCCTGTACACACCTAAGCAAACAAACAAAAAAAAGAAGTAGGGATTACTCTACTTGCTAATAAATACTATTACAGGGCCAGGGATTTAGCTCAGTGGTGCCACCACCTGCCTCGCAAGCCTAAGGTTCTGAGTTGAATCCCCAGTACCAACGCCCCCCAAACAAACACAAAATAAATACTATTACATAAAGTAGGTAAGTGAAAATAAATACACATTAAGGAAAAAAATGCACTCTAATCTATATACACACATACAAGATATATAAAAATATAACTGCTTCCTTAGTTTGTACCTATAATAGTGAAGGCTTTCATTGTATTTTTCATCTCTAATAGTTGAAAAGTGAAGATATATTCCATAATGCACCAGCCAAAGAGAGATATGAAAATAAGATAAAGTGATACTAATGATATTCTGAATGCTTATATGTATTAGGTCCTAAAAAGATAATAGAAGAAAACTATAAACTACTTTTGACTTTCCCACTGAGGCAAAAAAAGACCTAGAAAATGTAGAGCTTATTACAGATTGCTCAGGTGTTGAGCCAATTCCCTTTAATCCAGTACTATCTACTGAGTACTTTCTAGGTACTGAAAACTGTGCTTAGAAATGCTGCGGGAGAGACTACAAATAGCCAGTAAGAAAATAATGTTTCTATGGTCACAGAGCTCGAGCTCAGATTTTAGTGAAATAACTGGTGAACCAAGTGGAGATTAGGGTAACATTTAACAGCCACTTTCAAATTTTCCCTAAAAGTGGCAGTGGAGAGTGAAATACTCTTTGGGGAAGGCAAAATGGGTATTTCTCCATGTGTACAAGAGTGTGTTTGAGTGCACACACGTGTGTGTGTGCACGCACGCGCATATGGGGGAGGGAGTCTGAGCAGGAGAAATAAGATGTGATACTAAATGCAATGTCTTTGCAATATTGTGTCATATCATAAAAATTCAGAGAAACACTGCAACTTATAATAGATTTTTTTTTAACAGAAAACTAAATACACATTGAAATTTCTTTTCTCCTTCTGATTTCTCTGAGCTTGAGGCTTAGCCTTAACTACATACATAGCAAGACCGTCTCAAAAAAGACCGTCTCAAAAAATAAACAAGGCGAAAAAATTATTTTCATCTCTAAATCTTTCAGTGCATTTGATAAACTAAGCAAGCATGTCACATTTCTCCTATGGCTCTGCCAAGTCATTTTAACCCGAGGTATGATGGGACTGGGTGTGTCCCGCTTTGGAAATTCGACAATTCAATGTAAAAAGTGCTGTCACAGAGAGCTGTGGAAGTAAATCAGGAAAGGGTGCAGTTTGATGTGGACGGGAGTGTGATTAGTAGATTCTTCCTGAAAGCAGACAGACCTGAAAAGAAACAGAAATAACAATCCACACAGAGGGTACAGCATACGCAAAGGTCCATGGACAAGATACCACTACTTGAGAAATTAAAAGGGTTTCCTTATGCCTGGAAGGAGACATTTAGGACACACTTAGGCACTCAAGTGGCTGAGATAATGCTAGAAAGTAGGCAAAAACCAGATCATGGGTGGCTTTAAAAGAAGTTAACGATTATGTGAAAAGGGTTTCAAGTAAAACAGTGGAGAATCAGATATGTGCTCTAGATGGACTACTATGTTATACGGACAAAAAGACTGGCGACAGGAAAGCTAGATAAATGTGAAGATTATTACAGGAATTACAGTGAGCCTTAATTAGGGCCAAGGAGTGAGGATTAGGTATATGACAATCAAATCAACCCTTGAGAAGAGTCACAGATTTTAAATTAGGGATCCAAGAGATAGATGATATTGACATTTGTGGAGACAGGCAACAAACAAAAGGAGAAGGACATGGTAATTAAGATGACTTTAGCTTTGAATTGAAAATTGAAAGTGGTTAAGTGAGTCTGGAGCTCAGGAGAGACCTGGGACAAAGATATAGATGGGAGTCGAAACACATAAATATTTAGTCAAGTTGGTAAGTAGCCATCCAAAGAAAGGCAAGACAGAATGGAGGCAGAGAGTTCTTACAAGCAGGAAAAACCCTGAGAAACACCACAACTTAAGGAAAAAGTTTATAACAGAATGAGAACTTGTAGACAGAAGCCACTAGAAAAAACAAAGAGGGTGCTTCGAGGAAAGAGTGGAATTCAATATTCAAAGTTTCAGGAATTAATACTGAAATTAACGTCCTGAACTGATGAAGTACAGGAGTGACTGATGATATCACTGAGAGTAGTTCAAGAGTGGGGTAAAGCCAAGGGCAGAGTACAGTGAATTATAGTGGAAGTGAACATAATAACATACTGTTTCAAGAGATTTAGCTATAAAGATACAGAAAAAAATAGTGAAAGATAGGAAGGGATAGAGGCCTGATTTTTTTTTTATGATAGGAGAGGATGGGAAAATAACACAGACAGAAGTCCTTGGGGAGACAAAAAATGGGATAAGCTCCAGAAAAGAAAGGAAAAGATGAATGGGAATGTGTATTAAATAATTCTCCAGGAACTGAAGGAATTCTCATTATTTAAGTCTCCAAATTTTTTCTGTGAAAGATCTAGCATGATTACTTGTAGAGAAAGGGGAACAAAAAAGGTAGAGTTGAAGATCTTAGGCAACTGGAGCAGTTTGAAAGAGCTGCTCAGGAAAACAGAAGAATCATAACCAGGGAACTACAGAAGGATTAACTTACAGAGTAATGAGGCTAGATAGCAATTTGTACTGATTGTTGGATTTTCTCAGAAGCCTGTGTGTACAGTTAAGGAGAAGGAAATAGCTGGAGTAATTTATATTTGGAATTTTGCCAGATGGGTGTGACAGAATGCAGAGGAACAAGAAAATTTACTCTACTACAGGTAAATAATCATAGGAATAATAAGACCGTGGGGTCTAAGCTCAATAGTGAAGGATAAGCTAACAGGAGGTACTGACTATTAAGGAAATGTGCAAGGATGGAGGTCTTAATGAGACACTAACAGCAAGAACAACTCAGAGAGAATCTTGAAAGTTAAGAGACTACATCAAGAGTACACAGATGGGCTGGATGTGACTCAGTGGTGAAGCATGTGTGAAGCTCAATAAAGTACATGGGTTTGGTGATAAGAGGTTGATGGAGATCCTGCCTCACACCTTCAGTCTTTTCTATATATTAAATGATGGAGCTGTTTGTTGAAAACACAATAGGACACAACGAAGCCTGAGATTTAAAGAGAAACAAGGATGATCTTAAGCGGTCAAAGAAAATGGAGACTATAGAAGAGCAGACTATAAATTAAGAAAGACTTTTAGCACCATACAAAACCCACTGGATTTTAGAAGTCAACTTACAGTAACAAATAACAATTTATTCTTGGATAACTTAAAACAGTTACATTATTCTGGCACAGTACTCTTCTTCTGGAAACTATTTTTTAAAGAAAATTTTAGAAATAATGCTTCTCGTTTACCTCTGTGGAAAAACATCTCCAATTGGTTTGGCTTGATAACAAACACTAGCAATGAATAACTATATTTAATTCACTATTACTCCCTAACTAAAATTTAAGAATATATTACACAGCATGCAGAACATTAACCTACGATGATAATGAGAAGATAAACACATATAATGACTAGGAAAAACAGTGGGATACATCACAAACTTACGGAAAAAGGGCATCCAAGACTCGCTGGCCAGTCAGCAAAGGATGGTTGGCTGGCAGCTTCTCGGTGACAGGCCGAACTTGACGGACAGGCCATACTTGGACCATGTTGAACTTCTCCTTTACGCCTTCAAATTCAAGCTCCAAGACTACATCCTGTAAAAAGAAAGGAGGATTCTGAGCATTGTCAAATTTGTGATGTTTCTTCCGTCAAAATTTAAGGAACCCCAGAGGTGGTATATATAGACATTAGAAAGGAGATTTACACATTTAATTGTGAATATTTATATGGTCTTGATATAAAATCAGGTGTTTTGATGATTTAAAAAAATTTACTGGAGTCTTCTAGAAAGGAATATATCAAACAATAGAGAAAATTAATTAAACCATGTGTAAATAAGTAGTAAGGTCTAAAAGAAAACACCAAGATGCTCCTGGGCCTAAAGAGGAGTAAAAATTTCTTATTTACTTTCCAATTTCTGTTTTATTTACTTTATTATACTGATCTTATACTACTATAAGGAAAAATACCTGCTAAAAGCCTCCAAATATTTAAAATAGTTAAAAGTCTTTATCTAAATGAAACATTTATAAAAGCAAGAGTAATGAGTAGTATGATAACATCTGTAAATACTGAATTCCAAAGTTCATGGCCCTATAGAAATCTGTAATTTTGTTGACATGAATTTGAATTATCTGCTTTTGGGTGGTTCCTGTATTTGGAATGAGTGTGTTTCTAAGCTAATAAGTCTAGATGATTGTTCAAAACTATCAATCCTCTAAAGATGTGGTTTTTTTCTACAAAATGGAATACTACTCAGCCATAAAGAATGAGAAATTAAGAGTCATTCATAGGAAAATGATGCATATTGAGGATATACTCTTAAGTGAAATAAATAAGTCACATGTGTAAATACCGAATAGTTTCTCTGGTGTGAAAAACTATAATTGTACATAAGATCCTAATGGTACAATTGACAATGTAAAATAGGAAGAAAAGGGCTAAAGGTGTAGGGGAAGTGAGAGGGGTAGGGGAAAGGAAATAAGGGAAAAGAAAAGAAGGAAAAATTGGAAATAAAGTATTTGCAAATAGGCAAGGGAGGAGGTGGTGAAGGGAGGGCAAGGGGGAAAAAATGAGAGCCAAGACCTGTGATATAAAGGTACAAGATCCCAGTGATGAATGTAACTGTACTGTATACCTAAAATGTACCAATAAATTCAATGAGAAAAAATAATTCAATCCTCACACAAACTCTTAATGTCCTCTATATGTTGTAGATCACAGACTTCTGTGAAAAGACTTAAAAATGCTCTCTTATCACATCTGATGTGGAGGAAATCATGTCCCCTCAATGCCATAAAAATTAATATGAGTCAATTATGTATTACCATATATAACTATAAGTACAATTAAAGGACTAAGTTACCCAAAGTAAGAATTCATATAATGCATTATACAATTAATGATATGAATACTGATTGACAATAAAAATCCAGGTTTATTCATTCCATGCTGATAGCATGATGCCGGGCGAGGTGGCACACGCCTGTAATCCCAGCACTTGGGAGGCTGAGGATAGTGAATTCCAGGTCAATTTCAACTATATAGGGAGATCCTGCCTCAAAACACCAAAATAAATAAATAAATAAAGAATAAATGAATGAATGTATGTACGTAGCATTAGTTAATAATGCAGGGAAATGCCATACTTCTTAATTTGCACTCTCAAGTCCAAGTCAAAATAAAAATATCCTCACAAAATAATGTAAGGCTGGGGATGTTGTTCAGCAGTACAGCACTTGCCTGGCATATGCAAGATTTTGGGGCCAATTCCCAGCAACACACACACACACACACACACACACACACACAGATATGTTTAAAACATATATTAAATATTTTATTTAGGGCACTGAAACCATGCAACTATCATATATAAATAGGGGCAGTCTATGTTATTTTAAAAGATACTTACAGAGGCATCATAATTCCCAGGTGGAGCAATGTAAGTCACAGTCCCTCTATTTCTTGGAGGTAACATGATTTTGTGTTTGATGAGTGAATTCTCATTCACAATTGCATAAATATCTCCACCAGTGATGTGACTGCCAACCTAGAAATCAAATGCATTTACCTGTTCAATGTTCAAATAAACCTAAAGTAGATTCAACCTTGTTGCTATCATTTAAATCACTTGTCTCCAAAGTCTTTGTAAATAGGGGAGGGTGGAGAGGGTGAAGGGAGGGCAGGGGTATGGGGAAAAAATGAGAACCAAGATCTGTCATGTAAAGGTACAAGATCCTAGTGATGAATGTAACTGTACTGTATACTTAAAAAGTACCAATAAACTCAATAAGATTAAAAAAATCATTGGTCTCACTTATTAATAAAATACGCTGGTTCCATAATCTTTCTAGTGTATTTAAGGAAAAACTGACTATGCTTTTATAGCCTACTTTTATTTGGGTTAAAAGTACTAAGTGTTCACTAAATATTCATTTCACATTCTTTTGCAAAGGTTAGAAACTTCTGATCATACAGACATACCCGTAAGTTTTTGCATGGTGTAAAATCCCACTTGATATCTCTGCTAAGGGCAGACACATTTACTCCTCTTGGGATGTAGATACTTTGGGTTTGACTGCTGATATCTGACAAAGGCCTTTGAATGCCATCAAAAATGGCTCCCATAATGCCAGGACCAAGCTCTACCGAAAGGGGTTTACCAGTACGGAGTACAGGGTCTCCAACAGACACACCAGCTAGAAAGTGGTTGAGGAAAACTCACTCTGAAAGTTGAAAGATATTAATAATAGGATATATCACAGTTCAAAAGGGAAATAAGCTAAAACAGAGCCTCCCAAACTTTTTTGCTTTATAGCAATCTTAGTGTTTCAGTAATATTTTCAGTGCATGGAATAATATACCTAATAATTCCAATTCTTAAATAGTTCTGTCCACACTACTTAATGAGTATATACACACGCTAACACAACTGAGAAGCAATGAAAGAATACACATAAATTGAAAGGAAAAAGCATATTTATTTTATTCTTCACCGCAATTATTATGAACAGAACATAAATGCTTATTGGGCACTGCATAATTTTCAAATCTTACAATCACACAGAAACTTCTTTCACATTGATTCAGTTTTTGAATTTTAGCTTAGCAAACACTGAAAAGTCAGCTTTGCAAACATGATACCATTGACAAAAACTGTTTATTAACTCAAGGAACTAATGTCTGACAAGATCTATCTGATTAACTTCAAAAATTTAAAACATCCTTGGCACTACATGAGTTTGCTAGAGAAGCCCAGGGTGGTTTTGTAGTTTGGGAACCACAGGGCTAAAAATAGAAGCAAAAACCTCTTATTAATTCATCATTTCAGACATACTACTGAAGAACAGAAGTCTCCTAAAAATGACAGTAGTACCTGGACAAAAACTTTTACAATACCAAGATCTAAGGAAAAAGCCAAGCATGGTAGTGCATGCTAGTAATCTCAACACTCTGGGAGGCTGAGGCGGGAAGATCACAAGTTTGAATCCAACGCGACAACTTAGTGATATTCTGTCTCAAAATTAAAATTTTAAAAAGGCTAGGGATACAGCTTGGTGAGGAGGCCCTGGGTTGATTTCCTAGTCACACTCACACACACACACACACACACACACACACACACACACATCTAAGAAAAAGATCTTTGAAAAGGAAACAATAAAATCTGAAAATAAGCATAGGAATTCTACCTTGTTCTCTAATATTCGCTGTCAGGAGTAAAAACCAGTACAACTTTTACAGAAAGCAATTTAGCACTATCTATCAAAATTAAAAATGAATAAACTTTGACCTAGGAATTTAGCTTCTGAAAATTTACACGGTAGCAGTGCTGATATAAAAGATGAAAAGCACTCAAAATTAAAATTTCTACATTAAGAGATTAACTAATTATGAAAACCCATATGATAGAATTCTATGTAGCCAGTAAAAAAAGGAACAGCAGCATATATAAATTGCTCTAGAATGATTTCCAAAACATGTGCTTTTACTCCCCAATATCTGAATATGAAATTTTTAAACCTACAAAGTTGAGATTTTTCAGTGAATTCTCTACATTCTACCATTAACATTTTATCATGTATCTACCCTTCTTCTGAAATATATAAAAATATATATACATATAAAATAACACGATAGTTACGCAAGCATGGTAGCTAATTTATGTTTAAAAGTGAATTTAAAAATATTTTTTGCAGTACTAGGGATTGAGTCTAGTGCCTTTTCCCTGACCCATATCTCCAGGCCTTTTTATTTTGAGACAAGGACTCACTACATTGCTAAATTGCCCAGATTGGGCTCTAATTTGAGATCTTCCTACCTATACCTCCCAGAGTACTGGGATTAGAGGAGAGCACTGACATGCCCAGCTTAAAAGGCAATATTCTAATAATCAAACAGTAAGGACTTCCTTGTGCTAAAGCTGTAATATGTAACAGTGCTATTCATTAGACTAGAGTAGTGACTAATTGTAGACATTATTTTAAATAGATATGATTGGAGAATTTTAGTAATATTAATCAATATTCCATTTAGACTACTAGTATTACAATATGTGTCCAATAAAAAAAGTTTCCAACTAGACCCTTTTGAAGTTTGTGAATTACTAAAAACATTAAATTAAGGGCAATGAAAATTCAGAATATATACTAATTTCTTAAAATAAGAATACTAATCCCTAGTGTACTTTTTTCCTTTCTTCAGTTACTCCAGTATAAATCAGGTCTCTACCAGACATCTATATTTCATACTTCTAACATCCCTGGTTGATGCTCTATTTACCTTTGGCTTAAATCCTTAAATTTTAACACAGAGAAAGCAGCAGGAAACTGAACCAAAAAGGATACAGGTTTCTTCGTACACCTGAATAGTAGCCATATCACCTTCCAACCGAATAATCTCTCCAACCAACTCACTGTGGCCCACTCTCACCAGCTCATACATGGCTGCACCTGCCATGTCACATGCTGTAACAACTTAAAGGACAAAAGATTACTTTAATGGTTTAAGACTCAAGTGCTCTGTGAAGAGTTGTAGATATTTTAAAACTCCAATAAATCCAATAATATGCCTTCTTTCATATATTCAAAAAAGATAAAACTCTTACTATAGTTTCACATTAAGATATATTTTAGTACATGATATAAATTGTATAAACAAGGGCTAGGGATGTAGCTCAGTGGTGCCATGCCTGCCTGGTAAGCACAACGTCCTGCATTTCTCAGGACCAGAAAAAAAAAAAAAAAGTACCAGTAAATTGATAAACAAAATAATTTATTAGGCTAAAGGTTATTAATTTGCTTAACACACGTGAAGGTTATTTTCAGTGTTTGAAGTTCTGTATCTGATAGTATTGACACATTGTCAGATCGACCCAGGTTACTATAATACATGTAATGATGGGTTTTGGAATAATAAAAAACTTTAAAATTAGCTTTAGAATACTACCCAATTATCACTTTACTATGTTATGACCATTTCCACTTAGCGATAATACTTAAAGTAACATCTTTACTTTGGAATACCTTAAACCAGTGGTATTTAAAACTTTTCTGGGATACATAACCTTTTCGATAAACTAATGATAGGGTCTACAAAGGAAGATTCACACACTGCATCTAGGCATTTAAAAAATTTTTACAGAACAGTGAAAATGTACAACCAGAAACTACCACTGAGGAAATACCAAATAAGAACCTCTATTTCTTATAAATACTGAGACAGGATGAAAACTTATGACTGGACTGTGTTGCTTTGTAAGCAAAAATTACTTCTCTGTGAAGAAGGGAAGGTTGCCACTTTTTTAGAAATGCGGAAAAATAGATACAACTAAGTACAACTATATAATAGGCAATACAGTATTTCAAGGGAATTTAATTTATTGATATTGAATTAAACTGTTATAAAAATGAAGATTTATTCATTTCTTAAATGTTTAGTTCTATATCTACTGTATAAAAATTGTTACACTGAAATATCGCAGATAAAAAAACTTTAAAATCATATATGGTAAGCAAAAAATTGATGTCATTTCGTTTCTCTACTATTAAGTAGTTAAGAATTAAAAGTTGGTTCCAGAAGTTTACTACAGATTTCTGTGGAATAGTTTCACCTATACTCTTCAGTGTTGTTCTCTAGCCTTTTCTCTGCAAGTTCCTGTTTAGCCTACCTGTCCTAAAGATCTTTATGATCAAAGGGGAAAATTATTTCTCTGAATGGCAAAAAAGATTTTAAATAGTGGCATTAATAAAATATATAACCTTTGTATTACTTGCTAAGGAGTTCAAGCTCAAACACCAAGCTCTTGGGAAAGAAGAAAAAGACATAATGATAGCCTTCATTTGTCTAAGCATCAAAAAAATACCATCACTTCCTCTGTGACTAGAGAAAAAAGACTGTAAAGCGAGACTGATAAAGACAAGAAAAAATGAATTTTCATAGCAGTAACAATAATAAATCAATGGGGGCTGGGCATTTAGCTCAGTGGTACTGCACCTGCCTCCAAAATGGAAGGTCCTGCTGAGTTTGATCCCTGGTTCGGGGGTGGGGGTGGAGATCAACGAGCAAGTTTTACCGAGAGAAACTGTGAATTGTGTTTTGCTGTGGGAATGCTCAGGAACAAAATGAACACTGAAATGAGATTTAGTATTTGAAACACAGAACTCCAAGTTTTGGCAGAGTAGACAGAAAGTTTAACATCACTTTCCACTGTTAGTATGTATTAGGTCAGAAGATTTTCGGGTAGCTAGTTATGTGATACTGTACCTGAAGCTGCCATTCAGAAGGATTTATAAATGTAAAGAGCAGAAGAAACACTTTGAAGACAACTGCTGAAGTTCAAAGCACATTGATATTAACTGAATAACTATTTTCTGTAAAGTATTACATGTTAAATTTTTTTCATCTCAAATTTAACAAAAAATTAATAGATATAGGTAAAATACTAAGCACTAATACATCTGTATAAGATAAAAAGTATATCACAAAGTAGCACCTCAATAACTAGAAAATTTACATGAGCAATGCTAGATGAACCCTTAGGATGGAGATCATAAGTGACAATGAGACCTTTTAAGGGTAATAATTTATGTATGTGAACATAAACCTGTGTATTTCTATCAAAAGCACCTTGAAAAGACAATTACATTTAAGAATCTTTATTCTTGAGATGATTATGAATTACTTACCAGGTCCTGAGACCCCATGCACATAACCAAATGTGCTTTCTTTCTCTTCATCAAGTATCTTGGGTAGTTTAGAGAAATCCATCATGTTAATTTACCTATGGTTTTAAAAAAAAGAAAGAAAAAAAGATTTTAAAATTAAGTTAGAATTATAAATCCTAAAACTTAAAAATTTAGTTATAATCCTAAAAGAAAAGAATCAATACTAAGTACCCAACTTTAATTTTTGGTTTACTGTTTTAGTTACTATACCTTTTCAAAGTAAAATGAAATACCACATTCTTAAATTTTTGTCAAATACCAAGCAGTATAGCAAAAAAGACTTTTTTCAAATGACCAAACCAGCCCTACAAAACCCTCTTCTTCCCAATTACCTCTCTGACTTCCTGTTCGACTACTCTTAATCATTCCACATACACACTGAACTCTGTCACTTCGCCAAACACAGCTACATTATTCATATAGGTTGTTCCCTCTGCCTGGTCTTTATTTCAACATCACTATCTTCATGAGATTGCTCTGCCCTTATATTTAAATCATGACATACTTTTCTCCTTGACTCTTTTATTTTTTTATCACAGTACATTTTACAATGTAACAAATTATATATTTTACACTTCAAATAATTTTTATGGAGCTGGGGATGTAGTTCAATAGTAGAGTACTTGCCTAGCATACAAAAGGTTGTGGGTTTGCTCTCTAGCATCAAAAATATGACAAAAAGAAAGTTTTTTATTATCTATCTTTAAAACCTATCTGGAGCATTTTTTCAATCTTTATTTTAGAAGAGCACAAAATAGCTTTAAGAACATTCAGTTCAACCTCTAAAACTATATAAACTACTGAAGTGCAAACAGAAAATTGGCAATAGATTCTAGGAAAGAAAGCCTATTTTTATTTTTGGCCTAAATAATGATTTAATAAGGGAGATAAAATGCATGTATGTATAAAAATAACTAAATAATGTCCCAACACAACCATAAAGTTAACAGTCTTAGAATACTAAATGATAAAGTGCTAAATTCTGTACTTATTTAAATAAAGTTCAAAGATTACAGTGTTTAGGAAGACACTTTTGGAAGTGTCTGGTTTAGGAAGCCAGGTTTTGCTGGCTTTCAACTATACAGTAAAGCAAAATTACTGAAGTGTTCATTCAACTGAGGTATAAACACTTTGGAAACAGAAGAAAAATAGACAAAACTGGAGGAGAATGGAGAAGTATAGATTGATGTGGATGAACCATATATAGTGAAGAGATGGCTTGAAAGTAAATTATGAGGATAGTTAAGTCCAGATATAAAGAATACAGAAAGGAAAAGCAAATTCTGAGCTTTGGGAATTAACTGAGGCAAGACTGAGGAGTGTTTTTCAGTCTCTTTTGGAGCCATTGAAGGATTATAATATATTCCAAGGAAAACCATTTGTAATCCAATAGATAAAATATCAAAATATTGGGAGGGCAGTGTACAATGAAGACAGTAACAGTAAAGTTCTGGTTTGCTTTAATTAGTGCTATCAGATATTGATACTAGACAGGTTTACAGGGAAGGACTGAAGGATTACAGGCCAAATATGGAAACAGTAAAAAGATGAGTAGTAGCCAGGCATGCTGGCACATGCCCACAACTGCAACATCCTGGGAGGCTGCACAAAGTCTGCAAATTCAACTCAACCCAGGCAACTTACTGCCCTATCTTAAAAGGGGAGGGTGGTGGATCAGTGCAAAGGCCCTGGGTTCAATCCATTTCACAAAATCAAAAGCAATCAATCACTCAATCAATGGCTACCGGAGGTTATGAGGGAGGGATAAATAGGGTTTTTAGAGCAGTTAAATTGTATGCTACTATAATGGTCGGTACATGTCATTAAATATTTATCCAAGTTCACAAGATGCTCAAAAATAAACTAATATAAACTATAAACTTAGAATAATAACAATGTAGTTTTCATTAGTTTTAACAAACATACTACTCAGCAAGATAATCTTGGTTGAGGTGGGACTACACATGTGAGGGCATATGGAAAATTTCTGTACCTTCAACATTGCTGTGAGCCTAAAACTGCTCTAAAAAAGACCCTCTGTTTTTATAAAAAGTAACAGTCAAGAGGGAAAACAAAGAGTATAACCAAAGAGAGATATAAGAAGACTTACAAGTGACCAGAATAAGATCAGAGACAAAAGAAAATTGTGAAGAACACAGAGATGGCATCGATGCTAAGGCAGAGACAGCTTCAGGCTAGTAGTTTGTTGATTACTTATATTCGAAATGAATTAGAAAAAAAAATAAGCCAAATACTACAGTTATCAATGTTTTAGTAAAGGAAACAAAGATTTTAGGTATCCTCAATAAGAATGTTAAGTTGGAAGGTCAAAGAAGGAAGTAGAAATTGGTTCATTAGATTAAAAAGTAACAGTCAAGAGGGAAAACAAAGAGTATAACCAAAGAGAGATATAAGAAGACTTACAAGTGACCAGAATAAGATCAGAGACAAAAGAAAATTGTGAAGAACACAGAGATGGCATCGATGCTAAGGCAGAGACAGCTTCAGGCTAGTAGTTTGTTGATTACTTATATTCGAAATGAATTAGAAAAAAAATAAGCCAAATACTACAGTTATCAATGTTACAGTAAAGGAAACAAAGATTTTAGGTATCCTCAATAAGAATGTTAAGTTGGAAGGTCAAAGAAGGAAGTAGAAATTGGTTCATTAGATTTTTTGGCTTCTCAAAGATGAAGACACTGAGTAAGAATAAATATGGGATTGAAAAAGACTAGACGAGACAGATCAATTTTCTAGAAACTACTAGAAATAATAGGGAAAAAAGAACAAAATCTGAAGAAAAATATGTTGTTAGGAAATGAGTTTGGGCAGTCTTCAAAGAAGTAGTAAACAAGCTAATGAGATTGAATTTCAGTCTTCAGAAAATCAAATATTTTCAAAGTCAGAGGAGCACTTGATAACCAATCATACTGTTTAACTTCCTCCTCCCTAATGTGGATATTTCCTTTATTTCATTCATGATGCATGGTCATCTGCCTATTAAAGTGAAAACAGCATGAGATCATGAGTCAGGAGACTTAGGATCCAGTCCAGCTCTACCAATGGCATGCTGGAGATTCTTTAAACAAATCAAAATCTTGTAAAATCTTCATTAGAAAAATAAGAATAATGCTACAATTTACTCCAGAGCTATAGATATATCACAAATTTTTTTAAATGCTCTTTGTAAAATGTGAAATGCTCAAAAATTTCATCAGCAATACTACTCTTTGAATGGGGCTCAATTTTGACAAAGCCATTATACTTTTAGAAATTTCTTGAGTTTTTCTTATGATAATCTAATTCCACTTCCCTATAACTTCTGTCCTTTGGCCCTGTTGTTCCCAACTCTGACAGCCAAATTCCCTCTCCAAACAAATCCTCCTCAATACCTTCCACTGCTCCTCAAAGGAAAATCCAGTTCAGATCCCTCACTACCTACAGTTAGGGTCTAGGTTATCCTATTTCATGATACTGTGTTCTTTTAAAACAGAGCAAACAAAATAATGTATATAATACTGAAGTGTATCACTTAATCTACTCTGGATACTTCAATTTATTGAGAAATGGAGATCAAGACTTTGAGTCAGACCCACTGAATTTATAAACTATGCCTTTAGGAAAATAAAATTCTTTCATCTTTTGGGCCTCAGTTTCATCTGTGAAACCTAATAGGATGCCTAAAAGAAATTCTGATGAGTACTAATTTTATTGTTAATACAAGCTAATATTGCCTAATTTTTACAAGGTGTCTAATGAATTATGTTCTTTTTCTCACTGAATTTATTGGTACATTTTAGGTACACAGTATAGTTACATTCATTATTGGGATCTTGTACCTTTTACATGACAGGTCTTGGTTCTCATTTCTCCCCCTTGTCTCTGCCCTCCCTTCATTATGTTCTTAAGTGAAACAAATCTAGTCACTTAGTTTTTTTTTTTCACATATATGATTTACCATAAATTTATTTTCTAAAACCAAATGGTGTTTTTTAAACCTTCAATGATGTGCCTGCTCTATATCATAGGTAGAAAATATAATGGAGTAAGACACAATCTTTCCTCTAATCATCTTCTGGTGTGGTGGGTTAAAAAGACAAACAGGTAGTTTCAATAAAGTGACATATGTGCTCTCATAGGAATACTACAAGATGATGTAGAAGAGCAAAAAGCAAAGTTATCAAACTTGGGTAAGATACAAATGACAGAGCAATTTAAACTAAGACTTGAAAGATGGGAACAAAGAAGCATTAGAGCACACATTAAAGATTCCCTACAAGATTGTTCAAATCTACTGGAGGCAAGGTGTTCCAAAGAGTTCATGAGGGAGAAATGGTGTCCATTGTGATTTTTTAAAGTATTAACATACTTTCCTATTAAAACTGAACAGTACAGCCTTCCAGATGTATGAGCAATGATTAATGGAAAACAAATGGGCTTGCTCATGATTCAGCATCTTATGGGTTTATCACTCAGCTGGATAATCCTACACACCATGAGAATTTTAATGATTCTGTAGTTTTCAACTTCTTTAAATTTTTAGGCACATATAGGTATATGTGTATAGGTGTTTTTGTTTTTGCTACTGGGGAGCAAAGCCATGAATACTTGGCCACTGAACTATGTCGCAAGCCCTTTATTCTTTTTATTTTGAGACAGGGTCTTGCTCGGTTTGCCAGGTGGAATGTGAGCTTGTGACCCTTCTGTGTCAGGATCCCTCAGTGCTGGAATTACAGGTGTGCACCACCACGTCCAGCATTTATGCATGTATTATTTTACAATGACACCAAACTAATAAGAAAATCACATGTCTAAGTGCTAATTCTACAGATTTACCTAGAAATGATTTTCAGCAGATTCATAAGTTTGATGATTTTGCTTTATAAAAGGCAATGTTGAGAAGAAAAATAAGATTATGAGCAGTTTAGTTTTCTCTACTCCATTGTATTATATGTAAAGGTGTTACAAAGAAATCACAAAATCAGCTCTTATTACGTTTTAGAATATGACAATTATGAAAATATCAGTTTTGAAAAGTATAAAATTCCAAACTTTT